GTGGGTAGGTGGGTAAGTGGGTGAGTGGGTAGGTGGGTAAGTGGGTGAGTGGGTCGGCAGGGAAGTAGGTAGGTTGTTAAGTAAGTGGGTGGTTGGCTAGGTAGGTAAATGGGTGAGTAGGTAGGTAAGTTGGTAGGTAAGTGGTTAAGAAGGTGGGTGGGTAAATAAGTATTTGGATGGGTGACTAGGTAGGAAAGTGGGTGAGTAGATTAGATTTAGAGGCTGTAACAATTCATTGATAAATGAATTAAATGATTAATAATTCAGTTATGTGGGGTCTATCCATACTGTCATCAAATGCTGATTCTGATGATGATTGATGTAATATGCCCATCTAACACAATCATTTATTTTAGATGAGCATTTGATATCACACTGAATCAAAATCATATTGTGACAGACGTGATATTGATAAATATCATCATCCAAACAAATCGATATAATAAAYTGAGATAAATCTGGTGATTTACACCAACAATTGATAAATTGGAAGATAGATGGATGGATTGATCTGTCTTCATGATTGAGAAGAACTTTCATTGAAGTAGTTCATAAGCTATTTCACTAACTAATCAGTTAAATAAACACACTTTAACAGACATGGGTAAAACCATTGCTTTTTTTACCTAAACTTTCAGACGTATTGTTGGTTTCATGGCTGATTGGTTTGTGTTTTTCTAGAGCAGTCAATATGTGACATACGTGCTTCCGTAGCGTGAGTGTAATCACTGAACAGAAAAAGAAAAAGAAAAAAATCCCCCAGTGTCACAACCTGCCCATTGTTTTCATGTTAGACTAGTATGTTTCCTTACATCAACAGCAGCAGCGGGCTGCTTTTTCAAGGTTAGGACAATAGGAAGAGGCGGACAGGTGTTATTCCATGTTTTTATTTTTTTTTCTCCCCGAGCAGAGCTGCAGCTCGGACTACTAATTGCTGTCCTGTGTTGTTCCCAGGTGTTCATGCTGAAGCCGGGCCTGTCCCTGCGGAGCTCCTATCTGGCCCAGTTCCTGCTGCTGCTCCACAGGAAGGCCCTCACGCTGCTCAAGTACATCGAGGACGAAACGTAAGAGAAGTCGCTTAAATCTAAAGAGCAAAAGGGATCAACAAGTGACTGCAAACCATGATGCTCAACTTAAACACCAGAGCTGCAAACTTATGTTTTCTTTAATATTATTGCTTTGATTTTCCTCATGTTAAAATGACAAGAATATTTTTTATTTAGTTAAAATTGTTTAGTTTTGCTATCAGGAGTCTTCTCTGTGGCGTTGAGAGTCTGAATTKTAAATGCCGTGTTAGAAAAGTACTGAACTTCCTGCTTGTCTCGTTGGATTGAGATGCACAGAAATATAAAGAACTCAGCTTCAGTYGGCTGCAGTGAGCAGGTGATTAAAGTGGGTTGAAGAGCAGAACATCAAAAAACCCACCAGTTGGAACGGAGGGTGATGGGAGCGGGTCGGTCAGCGCTCTGTAGGTGCTGTTCTGCTGAGCAGCAAAAAATCTGATCTGATCAAAAGATTCATCTTTCATGAATCTAAAGATGGAGGAAGAATTTTTTTAGAGAGTAGCAGGACTATAGGGGATGAGAACAAAATTTAGAAACTGCGTCACTTTTTTTCCATTTAGTGGTTCAATGTACATCCCCTCTTTAAATAGTTTATGGAAAATCGTATAATTGTTATACTGTTTGTATAACTAGTTCTGCTGTGGGGATTACACACATAAAGTTGCCAAATATCTGTTTTTAGGATTTGCTTTCCAGTGCTTATAAAATACCACACAATCAAATCAGATAAAACCTGAATTTGTAGAAAACAATTGTGTCAGAAGAGATATTTTATTGATTTCTGTTGAACATTTTTAGTGTTTTTTCCACCTGGATTTTGGACTTTATTTCAAACTATAGTATGATTTAAAAAAAAGCTGATCCTTGTTGAAATGAATAGCAAAGCAGTGACAAATACAGGAGGATGAGGCACACACTGCATCAGAGCTGCGCATCAGAACGATTAATAATTGATCAAGATGGAAAGCAATTTCACCCCTAATTTGTATTTGATGTGAGCTGGGAAGGTGGGGGTGGGGGACAAGTTGTTTGATGAAACCTCTGCAGCCTCTCAGGCTGACAGAAACTTCCTTTTTGTTGCACTAAAACGACGAGGAACAAAATGATGCTCGACGCGTTCCAAAACCTTTAGAAGAGCTCAGCTTCTGAGCGGCACCAGGGCAGATTATCATCATCAAAATACTAAATGGAGATTTTACGATCATCGTTTGATCACTGACAGGATATTGTCATTTTTCTGGCCTCCCTCGGGCGCAGAAATGATTCCAGGTTGCAAGGTGACCTGAAGGCATCTGCCCTCACGCCACGAATGGGCCTTTAATTTAAGCAGCACGTGTTGGAAATGAGTGCCGGAGTGTTACGCTCCAACATCTCCCCTCCGTTTTTATTTTTCCTACTCTGAATAAAACTACCTTTTTTTGTACCCTTTTTGACGCATATCTAGTGTTGCAGTTTTTGTTCTGTTTCAGCAATTTATTCATCAAAAAGTTCAGCTTCTTCAGGACATTCCAGCTATGACTTTGTGTTTCTGCACGTTATACTTTGTTAGATATTTAGCTTTTTCAGACTTTTTGTTTTTCTCATTAAAAACTGAATCTTCAAAATCCATAAAACCATTCAAAGTGTTTACAAACTTTTACGGCGTTTTTCACTTTTTGTTCTGGTTCTGCTTTTTTGTAACTTGTTTGTATGAATTTAAGTTTCCTGCAGCTTCTTTTTTTTGCTAATTTTAGCTTTTTTCTGATTTTCAGCTATCTTTCTGCTATTCTGTTGATTTAAAAAAACAATGTTTGTTTCTTTCAGCTGTTTTTTGCAATTTAAGCTACTTTTGAATTATTTTGGCTAATTTTATTGTTTTTCAGCTAAATTCATCTTTTTATGTGATAATTTTAGCTTCTTACTGCTTAATTCAGCAAACTTGCTCTTTACTAGATTCAGTTACTTTTTAGCTACTTTTCTGCTAATTTCAGCTTTTTTGGCTATTTTGTTCCTTTAAAAACAAAATAAATTCCATACATAACAAAAAAAGAATCACAAATAAAACTAGACATGTGTTTTTACGATGTAAAAACAAGTGTGCATTGCCTTTTAGCATGGCTTTGCCTGCAGCATTGGACTTGCAGAATGAACTTTGACCAAGTTCAAATGTGTTTTCTATACCAGCTTGTGGCTGTCACATCAGCAGGTGTTTGTAATTAAGGTAATTGTGTGACAATATGAAGTTTGAAGAGATTTTTTGTTAAAGTTGCGTTAGCTGGGTTTTGAACTCTGATCTCCCGCACAAAAATCCATGACATAGACCATTAGACCATTGGAGCTGTGGCAGAGTGTGGTGCCAGGGGTTGGTTTGTATTTGTGCAGAAAGAGGGCACATTGCCAATGCAATCGTTGTTACTAAACTGCAATGTATTGCAACAATTGGACAATATTAAGACAGTATTACAGTAAAACATCAAAATACAATCAAATTGATATTATAATCACTGAACTACTGAGTTTAAATATTATGAAACTATGGTGCAGTACCATATTGTGTGGATGCAGCAGGGGCCAGTATTGGACAAATACAAGGCTCCATTGACTGCCATTATAATTTATTAAACATTAATATTTGAAAAACTATAAGTTTTACAGGCACCAAAAGGCATAGCCATCATTTGGCACAGGGGCTTTACAGATATAAATTACAATGGCAGCTCTAGGACAAAGTATGCAGGAGGAGAAGCATGGCAAAGTTGAGATGACTTGGATGGGAAACGTATCACAATAATGTGCATTGCATTGGCAGTGCACACTGATGAAAGGCAGCAGAAAGAAGAAAAAAAATCTTATGTCTGCCCTTTTTTCCCCCCAAAAAATAAATTTAAACAATAATAATCTCCAAATAACTTAAACAAAACAAAAACATCAAATTTTTCTTGAATGATTCATCTTTCTTCAACAAACCAACTTTTATCATTCTCTTAAATGTACGCATTGATCCAGCATTTTTAACATCACTCTCCAGATTATTCCCTAATATCTTTTATTTTTATCTATTTTACAACAAAATCTTTTTTTTCTGCAGAAATCATTCAGTATTAATCATTCCCATTGCCTTTAAATGCTCTAGTTTGTGTTGTAATCCTGCATTGGTCCCATCAGGCCTACAGTAACGGCACCTTGGCTTTGAGTTTTTGTCGAGTTCTTTCTTTGGCTCCGGTCCTCCTGTAGTGACCTGCTCACTCCTCCATCTGGACCTGACTCATCTCCTTCTGCGCTCTGCTCACGTCGTCACAAGCCACTGCTGTTCTTTTTTTCTTTTCCTCCTGTCCCAACGTGCTTACACGTGATTCCAAACCAACGCTTTTGCATTTTGTCAATAAATTCCTGCGCGGACCAGAGCTGCCAGCAGCCACACACGACCAGCCATTATTCTTGTGTGAAAGCGTGAAAGCAGCCTTGTTTATGATTCAGCCATCAAGCCTGAGGTCTAAGGTCACACTATTTTACAGATGCTTTGACAGGATTCTTTATGCTCCCTTGCGATCCCGTAGCAGCATACATAATTCAGCACGGGGCGATCCATGCGCTCAGCCGCAGCCCGACTAAATGCTAATGTCTGACCCCGACTTGTTTACATTTGGTAACCGTGGCACAAACGTCTCGTTTTCACAGGCAAAAAGGGAAGAAGCCGTTTCGATCGTTGCGCAACTTGAAGACGGACCTGGATCTGACGAAGGAGGGAGACCTGAATATCATCATGGCGTTTGCTGAGAAGCTGAGGGCGGGGCTTCACTCCTTCGTGTTCGGGAAGTCGTTCTACACCAGCGTTCAGGAGCGAGATGTGCTCGTGAGCTTCTGACCGAGTTCTTAATAATTATCAGCTGTGACGTCAGTCGTAGAGCGAAGGACCAGACCGTGTCTTTAAGTTGTGGACATTTTTGTTTCGTTCTTGTTTTGTTTTGCTGTTACACAAACGCCTGCATGCTGATTGAAGAAGCAGAGTATTTATTGTCTTTGTGTTTAGTTGGAGGCGAGGCGTGAACTCTGACTGATTGTAGCTGCTGTTACGAGCCGAAGAATGTGAAATATCTTCATCAACAGCGAGTGTAACGTGAGCGCAGTGTTTTCACAGAGCTTCCTCTGAACCGGATGAATTATTTATGCACTCTGTTAATCGGGGCTCTGGATTAATTTATGATGTAAGAATTGGCTGAAGTGCCCACAGAGACGTTTGGAGTTTAATTTAAGATTATATTTATTGAAAGACGATTTAATAATGTCTACATTTTGTGTATTGTGTTACACACTGTAGAAGGCTTTTTAACTGTACAAAAACATGGTTAAACTCAAAGCAGTTTCAAAGGTTTATGAAATAACACAACCACTGTCTTTCCAGACAGAATCTATAGATTTAAGCTCAGTTATTAAGTGTATTTGCTTAGAAATAAAATATTTTTTTCTTTCTGCAGCTGCAGCCTATTATTAACAAAGGATTACAGAGCTTTACTGTAAACTGAAATAAATTTAATTTGAATTTAAGTGATGATGTTGAGCCGTGTTACAAGTGTTTGTGTTTTTCTATTTGAGCTAAAATCAAATCATTTTCTGATTATTTACCGTTTTTTGTTTCCTGACTGTATTATGTGAAAAATTGTAAGACAAGCTCATAAATAATAAATGCTGTCCTCACAAATCCACACTTTTTGCTCGGCTTCAGACGTAAAATCAAGCTCAAATGTGGAGAAAAAATATTTTTTATGTATATGTGTCATTTACAGCTTCACTGAAAAAAAATCTCAAAGCTGAAGGTTTGTAATTAAAAACGATTTTTCAATAGATTATTTTAATCTAAACTTCTGGCATGACAGGTGGCAGACGATGTGGATTACTTCAAAACACGCTGAAATACGTATTAATTTCATAATATAAATTTATCATGTAAGTTTTGTCACGTTTGGCCCAGAAAATGTGCAGAATTTTAGAAAAAGCTGGGATTTTAATGTGTTTAATGGATGGGAAACAATTTTTTAAAGTAGTCTTGATCAATAGCTCTTTTTTTAGCCTAGATCATTTCACGATGACAGCATGTGCAGTTTAAAAAAAGAAATAAAATAAAATGAGAAAATCAAACACAACAAAAAAAAGTCGGAGTAAAAACAGTTGTCTCCAGCAGATGGAAAGTATCTGGAAGTCGTTTAAGAAATGGAAAGAAGATCAAAGACTTGATACAGAATCATCTTGTTTGTGCCAAAATCCATCAAACTGGGTTCTTTTGTATTTTTAATGGATTCAACAAAAATAATAATAATAAAAAAAAGGAACAAACTGTCTTTGTGACGAGTTTGTAACAAAAAGCCTAAAGATCTTTTTGAGCCTGTAAGCCTCATTTTGRCTGTTACTCAAAGAAGGTATTGATGAAAATTAGTTTACTTAAGCTCACTTATTTAGGGTATTTTGTCTCTTTTTCTTCAGGCAAATCCAACGATTATGATAATTAAATGAAAGCATCACGAAAGCCTACACCCCCCACCTCTGACCTCACATCGGATCAATTCATCGGTGAAGTGAAAGTCTGTAAGTCAGTATTTTCTCCTGTTAGGCAGACCGTCACAATCTCCCCTTAGTCTCCTATAATACAGATATATATGGAAAATAATTGGAAAATCTATGAATAATCTACCTTCCCTAAAGTGCTGCGTATAAAAACGCAGCTGGAAGATCTTTGCCCATCTGTAATTGCCTCAAGCAGGAATATAATTACGCGTCCTCTGGAGGGCCTTGAAGTGATGCATATTTAAAACAGGACAAGAATGAAGCAAGTGAAGAAGCTTTTAATTACTTATAGAATATCTTCAAGGACTGCACCAAAGATGTCCTTTAGGAATACAGTTGTAAAGATAATTCACAGGACAGAGGCAATTTTTTCTAAGGCCACAGCCCAAACAGATTTGTCTTTGGAGAGGTTTGATTGGSAGGTTTACTATTATTATTTATTTTAGCTTTATAGGAAGATGTTCACCTAACTGAACTCTGTGTGTTTATGAGGAAGCTTCGTTCTTATGGAACCTAAACAACTTGCTAAACAGCGGGTAAAATAAGTATTGAACACGTCACCATTTTTCTCAGTAAATATATTACTAGAGG